CAAATCCCCAAAGATTTGAGGCCATAGTCTAATTCATCTTAATACTTCCTGCTGCAGCTCAGATGAGGCTGGAACTAGTGGGCTCTGATGAGGATTCTGAGCTCCCTTTTTAGTGGACAGAGAGAGAGTTTGAGGCTGCTGCAGAATGAGACTGTTTCACAGCCCTGGAGTGGTATAAGGGTCATGGTGAGACACCCACAAAAGTGGGCCCAGGATCTAAGGGTCCATGGCTCCAGGGAGCTCATCAAGTTAAGACATCATAACTAAAAAGAGGACGTCAAAGCTGGGTTAGCAGCAGTGAAGAGGCAGCTGTAGGCCAGGGGCAGTGGCTCATGCCTGTAATTCTAGCACTTTGGGAGGCTGAGGCGGGCAGATCACGAGGTCAGGAGATCGAGACCATCCTGGCCAATATGGTGAAACTCCGTCTCTGCTAAAATTGCAAAAATTAGCTGGGTATGGTGGCACATACCTGTAATCCCAGCTACTCAGGAGGCTGAGGCAGGAGAATTGCTTCAACTAGGGAGTTGGTGGTTGCAGTGAGCTGAGATCACGCCACTGCACTCTGGCCTTGCTCTGGTAACAGAGCAAGACTCCATCTCAAAAAAAAAAAAAAAAGAGGTAGCTATAACAAAGCTTTCACATCTTCTGCCCAAAATACAAGGTCTTCTAATAACCAATTCATCTCAATATCACAGATGACAGAAATGTCCTTGTCTCCTGGTGCATTTTCCAGTTGTCTCCAAGATACTTGTGTGCCTACCATCTCTCATCCACACAACTGCTGGGTGATTTTTTAAGAATATAAATTGGATTCTTTCATTCCTCTGTGTAGAACCCTCCGAGGGCTTTCCATTCCTTTCAGGATAAAATGCAAGCTCTAGGAGTCCTGACATTCCTGGCCCTACCCACCCATTCCCCGACATGGTCTCATCACTGTCCTCTGTGCTCAGGAAGCCCCATTCACTCTGGTCTCCTTTTTATTATATTTTAAAGACATGCCAAAGTATGTCCACCCCAGGGCCTTTGCATTAGCTGTTTTTATTCATGTGTCATCATTGCTTCACCTTCAGAGACTATGGCTGGCTTAAAGGCAAGAATTAAATAGTAAAGCAACTCCAAAATGAGGTAGAATCTTGAATTTTGTGGGTGTGACACAGATTTACTCTTCCCTTCATTCTTACTCAGTTGAAGCCTAGAACAGTCTGACACCTTCATATTAGAAAGAGAACTGAAGACTGGAGACAAAACGGGACTTAAAACCACTCACATTTTGGGTGCAGAATTGTCCAAGGATGGATGCAGAGGCTGTGATTTGGACTTGTGCATAATGAAATTTAATCTTAATCACTTGGAACTGCTGTATTTAACAATAACATAGTTATAATAATGAAACTTCCCTCCTCTCTCTCCCTTTTTATTTCTTTTGCTTTTAACTTTGCTGAGTCTAAGGTTGTATATAGGGGGCCACAGACAATCTTGAATTTCTCTTCCATTTGTATTATCCTATTTTTCTTTGCAATAGAATATTCTTTTTTGAGGCCAGAAGAGGGTAATTTGTAATTTATGAATTTCTCTCTTGAAATTACAACTAGAACCTAATTTTAAAAATCAAATTGGTTTCATCTAATTAAATTTGGAAATTGCTTCATAAACACATGCTTTGTTATACATGTTTTTAAAAGCAAGGTCTCTTGTTTACTATCTGGGGCTGGATTGGGTTGAGACCAGAGAATCAGGTACTTCTCATCTCGCCACTCAAGAGAACATACTCTTCCATCAATTGCCAAAAGTTTCTAAAGAATAGTGTTTTCCGGAACAGTGCTTCTCAAACTGTAACGCCCATAGGAATCACCCGAGGATCATGTTAAACTAGAGAGGCCTGAGATGCTAAATTTCTAACTAGTTCCCAGGTCATGCTGATACCGCTGGTCTACGGACCACGCTAAGTTGCAGCAAGGGGCAAGACACCTGTACCTGCATTTAGGAGTTCTGGATTTGGCATCTGGGTAGCATGACCTTGGTCTTTTCATTTTAACTCTCTACCCTCAATTTCCTCCCTTCTATGTAATGATAACAGCTAACATTTATAATGTTATTTCTAAATGCCAAACACTGAGCAAAACATGTATTTAATTGGATCCTCACAGTAATTGTATAAGGTCATTTTATTATTATCTTGATTTTTCTTATGAAAGACTTAAGGTTCTGAGAGGCCACTTGATGTACTCAAGGTCACAGAGCAAATAAATATCAGAGCTGGGATTCAGATCTAGGCTATGGGCTCAAAAGTCACCATTCTTATTTTCTTGGGCCTCACAAGCTTGTGATACACATGAGCACACTCATGTTTATGCTCACAATAATGACCTAAATCTACAACCTTCTTAGCTCCCGTTACAGCATCCCTCAAGCATTTTGGCATATTCCCCAAAAGTAGCCTGAAATACTTACAAACAAGTCAACCAGCCACAATACTCTGGTCCTGGTTCTCTACAGTTATAGCCTAAGTCACAGCCAAGAAGCTACTTCAAGTTATCTTTCATCATAGCTGCCTCCCGTAGAATCCACGGAAATGCCAACATCGCTGGCATCTGGTCTCTGAAAATGCACAAGGCAGTGGGTTCACACAGAAGTATGAAGGACATTCTGTTCTAATCTGTACCCACCTTTGTGCGTGGGGCTTTAGAGTGTGCATTATATAATAATGCCTCAATTGCAGGAGATTCTGCTCAAACACAGAGTCTAACTCACAGCTGTGTTTGCACCCTTGCTCTCCCTCTCTTTCTTCTTATCACAGAATGGTAATCACCATATTTCTAATCCAGTCTAATGCATATTCTACTAGAGAAAACAGTATATTCCTCTCAAGGAATAATCTGTGCAGAGATGCGACTCCACCTGCAACATGGCCCCAGACTAGTGGTTTCCAAATGCAGGTACGTACAAGGATCAGGGCTTTTCCATAACAAAGTTGCCATCAATCCAAGGCAAAATTAGAAAAAATAAGGTGATTGTCATGAACTAGTAAAAAACCCTAAATTTACTCAATTTGAAGGATGGCCTTTTATTCTGAAATTATATTCTTTCTATATTTTTGGAATTACGTCTTTTATGAAATGATATAAATAAAAGATGTTAAAAGTACCCTAGGTTAGTGCCCCAAACCTTTTTAAATGCCACTGGCCTGTGAATTCCAAAAGTCTTGAACATCTGGCACAGAGCATCTTTTACATAACCGCACCGAGTAACTTAACTTCCCAAATCACGGGTCCTTTCGTTCTGCTTTACAAACAAAAGTTTGCCAGGCACAACAGATTTTTATTTCCTTTAAATATGTGTGTGTGTGTGTGTGTGTGTGTGTGTGTATGTGTGTGTGTGTATGTGTGTGTGTGTATGTGTATGTGTGTGTGTGTGTGTGTGTGTGTGTGTGTGTGTGATTGGGGTCTCTGCTTCACAAAGAATAGCATGTATATTTGAAGTGACTGGATTTTGTTTGAGTTAAATTTCCAGTCCCTCTCTTTCCCAATAAGGTTTTGGAAATGTCCTAGGCAAGGTATATCAGTATACAAGTACCGGTCCTCCTCTCAGGGTACTCCCCAGGAAGAAAGCTTCTCCAAAGCATGTGGCCTGAGAAAGTTCATAAGTGATGGTGGGGATGGATGTCTGTTTCCTCCTTCCATGTGCTCATCCTGAGAGCCGCACCAAGCTCCCTGCAGTTTCTAAGAGGGAGATGTTAGCTCTCCTTCAGAGGAATGCCAGTTTTAGTGAGACAAGATGTTTTCTCAAGCAGCTTGTACATGTTGGATAATCTTCTCTCTCAGAGAGTTCTCAGGACCTTCTACGTCTCTCTAGAGAGCTCATGGGTCTGTTAGATTAATCCTGAGTACTTTTCCTTCATCAAACACTCCTTGACTTTCCTCCCCTGAGTTCACCTTTCCTTATAGCAACAATATTCTTCTGCCAAGCCCACTCCCCACACACACAGGTTCCTGCATGAGCACTCAGTGGCTTAAGCCTCTGCCTGGGCCTGTGGTTCATGTGTCAGTCTGGGATGACTGTGTCTTTCTTCCCTCTCAGACTCCCTAGGGAAAGCCTGAAGACGACGTCCACCTCCATTTTACAGATGAGAAAAATGAGGCTTAGAGAGAGGGGGAAGCTGCCAAAGGTAACTTGTGAGAAGGTGGAGCTACTAGAACACTGGGCTACATCATTTCAGCTTCGGCATCCATGCCCTTCCCTGTGCATTGCTATGTTTCCATTTGATCTAGTGTTGTAATATTATGTTGTGTAAGAATACAAGGGGTAAGAGAAGACGCGATCCTACTCCTATCCCAGTTCTTGAATCCTAGCTCCATCAGCTTTGTTGGGGATGTTTTGTTTTGTTTTGCAATAAACTTTTACATCGTTTGTCTTATTTTTACAAGTTTTCTGGATGGGTACATTCCTGCCTGAGTAGGTTCTCGTTCATCTCTGATATGGTAAGGTCCCACTAATGCTTGGAAGGGAGTCTTTGGATCCCATCATCTGGGTTGACAAAATATGCCTTGGGCACAGAACAGTTTAAATCTCAAGAATCCTGTGCCTCTGCTGCAGAGAATAACCTTGGGATTTTCAAACCGAAGGGAATGCTATAGGAAGAGAGAGCACCATGTAGGTGTTTTAGTTTCCCAGACGAACGTTCACTACTGTTTGCCAGGCCTGGGCCTTCTCTTCTATGTAAGAACAATCTGATTCCCTGGGTTTTGACTCCTTTGTGGATGAGGGCAGTTGTCACCCTAGTCACCTCAATGCATATGTACAAATTTCTTCATCCTTCAGGCTACCAAGACAGTTCCACTGTGTGACATTGTGTTTGCACCCCAATGTACCATCGGAAACCTTTTGATAAGTCGCATCTCGCTCACCTTTATACCTTCAGCAGAATGAGTATTCACCAACCTCAGGCTGAAGGGAATTGAATAAAGCTAAGCCAACGGATGCAGCGCAAGGGACCGCCTTACCTCATAGAGCGTGATGACCCCATTGGTCTCATTGGGAGGTTTCCACTGGATGTAGATCTTCTCCTCAAAAGGCCCCCCTTGGATGGATTCTAGAGGAACAGCTCCTGGAACTACAGAATGGAAAAGTTATTAACCTGATGTCATCTTCCACATTATTTCTGCAGCACCACTGACCTAGAATAGGGGTTGACAACGTTTCTATAAAGAACCAGATAGGAAATACTTTAGGTCTGATGGGCCGTACATTCTCTATCATAACTACTGAACTCTGTCATAACTCTTCAACTCTGTCATTTTAGCACAAAATTGACTACAGATAATTCATAAATGAATGGGTATGGTGGTGTGCCAATAAAACTTTATTTATAAAAACAGGCATTGGGCTGGATTTGACCCACAGGCCATAGTTTCCTGACTCGTTTTCTTTTTCTTTTTCTTTTTTTTTTGAGACAGGGTTTCACCATGTTGGCCAGGCTGGTCTTGAACTCCTGACCTCAACTGATCCACCTGCCACAGCCTCCCGAATTGCTGGGATTACAGGTATGAGCCACCACACCCAGCCTATGCTGACCCACTTTCAGAAGGCTGATCAGGCTTTTCACCTGCAGACTGAGCAAGTACGTTTATGGGCTGAACCTGATAAGGGTAGAAAGGACATAGCAGTTTCCAGTTCTTCCAGCAGGTGGGAATCTGAAAGAAGGTCTTTGCTTCATGGGTGTCAAATCTTTTGGCTTCCCTGGGCCACACTCAAAGAATTGCTGTGGGATGTACATAATATACACTAAAAATAGCTCATGAGATTTTTAAAAATTGCAAAAATAAAATCTCATAACGTTTTAAGAAAGTTTATGAATTTGTGTTGGGCTGCATTCAAAGCCATCCTGGGCTGCATGCGAGTCACGGGCTGCTGGTTGGACAAGCTTGCTTTAGGATTTGTATTTGAGAAATGCAAAGTGAGCTTTTCATCAACTTCCCAAGTATCATTTTCTTCACTCTGCCAAGTTTTCTCTAACTTTAGGAAGTGCTTTGTCAGTTTTCTGACTAATTCCTGAATCCAACATGAACTATGTGTCTTGAAACCTCAATCCAATTAGAAGAAGCTTGCCTTGCTACAAGAAGGAAGCTAGCTTGTCTTGCTGTTGAGTCCCAATGCCTGGCATGAAAGAGATGGATCATAACTTTTTGCTGGTTGGATGAATATGTGAATGGATGACCTATGCCAGCATTTTGTCCTAATGAATGCAACCTTCCCTGGGACTGCTTCTGAAGGCGGTCAGCCTTTCTGCCAGCATCTTCCTGCTGGATTTCACTGTTCTTACAATTGTCTGGAAGATGCTGAGCCAGAAAGCAAATTATTCCCCAACCTTTCTGCTGTAACCCCCTTGGAAATAATGAAATTCAATAAATTGTTACCAGATCTATTTATATTTTGGCATTATAAAAGCAGGTACTTTTACTAAGCACTTACACTTGGGTTAGAATTTTACCTACATTATTTCACTTAAGCCACAAAACAGCTCTGCCCAGTAAGTATTATCTCCTTTGCGTCAATAAGGGAACTGAGGCTGAGAGAATGGAATAACTTGCTGAAGGTCATATGGCTCTTAAGTTGTAAAGAGGGAACTAAACACCTGTCTGTGAGCTTTAACGCATATACTCTTAATCATCATGCGACGCCTCGCTGCATATAGTCTTGGCCATATGTTGCAATTGGTTCCCTTTTGTTAAATTAAAATATATTTAGTTTTGCTCATTATGTACATGATACACAGAATTTGTTGAATATTAAGAATATATAAAAAGTTTAAAAAAAGAAAAGAACAAAATTACTGATAATTCACATGTTCAAAGATATTTTCTAGCCTTTTTATGCATATAAAAATTTTATTAAAAGATATGCCTATGCATATATATATATATATTCTTTTAAAACATTAACTCCTATTGTGTACATTGCATTGTGACCTTATTTTATCACTCAAGAAATTGCAGAATTAAAAAAAACATCTTTGGATGTTCTCTGGGGCCATGCATTTTACTGGCTTGAATGACATGCGTATAGGTAAGTATGTATGCAATTCTGCTGATGTCCTTAAGATTGATGCTATGGAAATTAATTTACTGGGCCAAAGTAAATGAACTATTTTATTTTTAAGTCTTCTGACATATATTACCAGATTGCCTTTCAGAAAGTTTGTACCATTCTGGACTCCCCAGCAGAAGAATATGTCTGCGCTTGCCAACACTGACTATTTAAAAAATTAAGTGCATGTGTATGTGTATCTTTTTTAGAATACTGGAGAGTACAGATTTTGTTTTCAGTTTAATTAGCCATTTACATTGCTTCTTTTATGAGCAAATTCTCTATACCTTGTGCTCATTTTCATTTTTGCTCATCTTTGTCTTATGGGCTTGTAACTGTAATTTCATTTTAAGGGCATAAGCTTTATTGCATAGGTTGCAAATATATTTTTGCCAGTTTTTCGCTGACTTTTAAAATCATGCAGAAGCTTTTTTTTTTTTTTTTTTGGTGAGACAGTCTTGCTCTGTCACTAGGCAGAGTGCAGTGGTGCAATCTCAGCTCACTGCAACCTCTACCTCCTGAGTTCAAGTGATTCTCCTGCCTCAGCCTTCTGATTAGCTGGGATTATAGGCAGGCACCACCACACTGGGCTAATTTTTGTATTTTTAGTAGAGATAGGGTTTCACCACATTGGTCAGGCTGGTCTCGAACTCCTGACCTCATGATCTGCCAGCCTCGCGTGAGCCACCATGCTTGGCCTGCAAAAGCTTTTAAGTAGTCAGTAATCCTACTGTTTTCCCTTATCTATCCTTCCTTTCCAGAAATATTTATTATGTATTTAATATGATCAAGGAATAGTGATGGATACTAGAGATAAACAATAACAAAGAGAGAAGTATCAAATCCTTGATAAAGCTTGTATTCTGGAAAGAGAGATGAACATTTAATGATTACACTCATAATTAATTCATTATATTTTTAAAATCAGGACTCTGACCTAAAGGAATGTAGTATTAGGAGAATTATTAAAATCAGAGGAAAACCTAGAATGGCAAGTTAGGATATTAAATGGCACATACATTAGAGTTGCTGGATAAGTAGAAGTTACCAGGGCAAAAGGGGGAGGAGGTGCTGCAGTGTGGTGGTTAGCTGTGTGAGGTTAAGGGGGGAGGAGAAAAATCAGTTAGGATGCTGCACTGCTATCCTGGGGAGAAAGAATCGTTTCCTGGACTGGAATGATGGTAGCGTAGAAGAGAAATAGATTGTATAGGAGATATGGACTCAGATGATGGCAATGTGGAAGATAAATGGACTGTACAGGAGATTTGAAGCAGGGTGATGGCAATGTAGAAGAGAAATGGACTGTGCAGAGATATGGGGATGCTAAACTAACATGACTTGGTGGTGACAGATAAGGGTGAAGGAGGGAAGGGATGTGTCATGGAGAACTGTAGCCCTTTTGTTTTATACAACTGGGGGATCAGAATGTTGTTTACAGAGAGGAAGCCTTAAAGGATGACCAATTTTGGAGAGGAAGCTCGTGAGCTGTTTTTGTCATACTTTATTTCAGGTATACAAAGAACATCCAAGTGGTAACGTTGAGTAGCAGTTGGATATAGGAAGACTGGGGCCAATGTTTGGAAATGGAAACCGTGGGCAGGGAATAGATGGCAAGAGTATAGAGCAGAGAAAAAAAAAGTCTAAGACTAAGTGAAGAGGAACTCCAGGATTAACAATTAGGAGGAAAATGAATGGAGAAACGGGGAGTCAGTGTTCAGAGATGCAACCAGAAAACCAGGAACTGAGTTGTCACTAGAGCATCCAAGGAAGGAACAAGGGTCAAGAAGGTACCGGTCAGCAGTCACAAATATGGCTGAGTAGTCAAGTAAGATGTAGCTTTAAACTTGCCCATTGAACCTACTGTCCTCAAAGTTACTCATGAGCCAACCAAGAGTAATTAAAGGGAGAATGTGGGCGTCACAAGCCATCCTGAAGAGGGTTGAGAAGAAAGTGGAAGGTGAGGTGAGGCAAGTAAACAATCCTGGCTGTGAAAAGGAGTGGAATTTAGAACAACAGGAATGAGATATGGAGCCAAAATGGTGACCTTCTTAAAGAAAAGAGGTTAAGATTAAAGCAACCAAGGAAAAAATTTTAAAACAGAGCTAATAAAAAGAGAAGAGTGAGAAAGAGAGGAGATAGCTGACAATGGTAGGGTCCTGAAAGGCAAGAGCAGGGATGGGTTGAAAGAAAGTATATTTCCTTCTGTGAGAAAAGAGGAGAGGAGGGAAATGTGCTAATGCTTTGCAGGGAGGAATCGAAGTGTCCTAATGGCTCTGTTTTTTTGAGAAGTGGGGTGAAACCATCTACCAAAAGTGTAGTCAGAGACAAGTTGCATCAAGAGTTTGGAAAGAGAGGAGAATCTTTACTAATGGAGAGTAGAAAGTAAGCTGAATAGAGAGATGAAAATTCTATTCATTCACCTGAGGGTCTATCTGATAGAAATTGAGGAAGGTCTGTCTGTTGGACATTAAGAAGGGTCTATCTGATGGAGGGTCTATCTGATGAAGATTGTGATAAGGAAACTCAAGCTAATAGAACTTGATCTTTCCAGTTTGGAGAAAATTCTCTTTCTCACACCAGACCAGATGAATGGAAAATACAGATCAATGGTTATTTTATAATTTATTTATTTTATGCTTTATTCCCATCTTTTTCTTTTTATACCTCACACTTCAATATTTCTGAAATTACTCAGTATACTATACATGGTAGAAATCTAACTAGAATTCCTTACAATTGTCTCAATTGTAAATGACAATTACTTGACCAGGCAAAACTTTCCCCAGTGATTTAAAATGCCATCTTACCACCATATTACATTAGTTTATATTCTAGCATATGTTGTTTGGTTTTCTGTTCTATTTCACTGAGTTGCAGTTTTTAGTGTGACAGTATTTCTGTATTGCATCGAGATGACATGTTTTAAAAGTTGGTAGAAGAAGTCTTTTTCTTTTATTATTCTTCTCTTGCAAAGTTTTTTTGAGGTATCACTACTCATGTCTTCTTCCAGAATAATTTAGGAATAAT